TAGCTTCAAAAAAAAAAAAGTTATGGACAACTGAACCTTTAAAACTGGACATCAGTCAGAGGATGAGTATCTGATCGAGTCCCTACAAAGAGATCTGAAACTTGCCTGACTTTCCAGAATCACAACCTCAGTGCCTTTCTGCTTAACTTAGCTCACCTACATCCTCACTGAAGTCATCTGCTACGATGACCATATCTGAAAGTTTGGTTCTCAGTAGGAGGTCAGACAGTTTTTGACAGAACTCTTACCTCAATTCAACTGAACTGCAGCTCGCAGATGCATATGGATAGCTTACAGAGAGACAGAAGTAAGTTTCACTGCACCATTAGCTCAAACAACATACAGTGCAACTTCTTTTTTCAGAATTGATGCTATACCTCTACCTGTACGACCATGAAAGTCCATCACCGAATCTCCAGAATCTAGGAGGGTGAAGCTTACAGATCCACCATATTAGTATTGTGTGATTAAATACATAACTTCAATTGAGTCTTGTACGCGTGTCTCAGAAACAATGCACGTTGGTGTCTCGAAATGACAGGGTTTTCCTTGTGGAAATTGAAATGCGAAACTTCAATCCATGAAATGGATTCTTATAACATTCATAGGCCAATGATTAGAATAAATCGGAATTTTCGAATGTAAGATGCTTTTTTTTGATGGGGTGATAAAAGAGTCTGTCAGTAGGCAAATTCACTTTGCGATCATGTCCCTTATAGACTTGTCAAAAGGTTTTTCGCCATAAAAGGGTAACTTCATTACGGTTCTTTTACTATACTGATCATATAGTGAAGCATGGAAGTAAGCATTAAAACCCCAAGAGTGATATGTTTCTCACTACCCATAAATATATCCGCTACAGTCAATAATATAAGTGATCCTATGGCTATTTATGTTTCTTTATACAGTACATCCTGAAACTTGAAGACAGCAGAAGTGGGACGTAATATAATATATCTTCCTCCAGTACCTTGATCCAAAGTGTCAGCTTTTGCTCAGCGTTCAGCTCCTTAACAACTGACTGATTAGCCATATAAGTTGATATTTCAGTGTAAAAGCTTGCTTTATCAAAGCCAAAAATTGTTTCACCTTTCACTGAAAGGTGCGTCTACCTTACGTTTCGTATTAGTTATCAAGAATTAATAAACTTGTCTTTTCATGGATTGAAGTTTCGCATTTCAATTTCCACAAGGAAAACCCTGTCATTTCGAGACACCAACGTGCATTGTTTCTGAGACACGCGTACAAGACTCAATTGAAGTTATGTATTTAATCACACAATACTAATATGGTGGATCTGTAAGCTTCACCCTCCTAGATTCTGGAGATTCGGTGATGGACTTTCATGGTCGTACAGGTAGAGGTATAGCATCAATTCTGAAAAAAGAAGTTGCACTGTATGTTGTTTGAGCTAATGGTGCAGTGAAACTTACTTCTGTCTCTCTGTAAGCTATCCATATGCATCTGCGAGCTGCAGTTCAGTTGAATTGAGGTAAGAGTTCTGTCAAAAACTGTCTGACCTCCTACTGAGAACCAAACTTTCAGATATGGTCATCGTAGCAGATGACTTCAGTGAGGATGTAGGTGAGCTAAGTTAAGCAGAAAGGCACTGAGGTTGTGATTCTGGAAAGTCAGGCAAGTTTCAGATCTCTTTGTAGGGACTCGATCAAATACTCTCTGATAGACGATTCCTGTAACACCGGTGTACTTATCTGCGGCCGAAACCTTGCTCTATTCTTGACGTAGCGCCAGCTTTCGGCTCATCGTACTAATTATCTTCATGGCAGTGTCTCGAAGAAAATGTTATCTTGTTGATGCGTAAGTCCCCTTAAGGCTCTGTACTCGAAAACGTGTAGTAGCATTATAGCCCACGCTGATTTACCAAGTGAGTTTTGTACGTCGAGCGTTATCCGTCAAGAGTATCCCCTCTTATTCATTTTTGTCACAGATGTGCGTATGCAGGTCACTCGGTCATTATCTATCTTTAAGGGGACTGATGCTGCCACAGAAATCTCTATCGAAATCTGAGTAAGCAAACCTGTTAGTTGAAGATGGTGACAAGAAATAGAGTTTTCTGGACACTGAGTTATGATTTAGGTGTATTTGAGATGAGTTTCTTGCTACCGAAATACAGTTTTCAGCCACAGGATTGCCAAAGATTCTACTTGTTAGGAACATTGGGTCAGTGGTCGATGAAATCTCTGCACGGATATACAACCATCGACCGGCTCCTACCCACTTACGTCACCCTTGGGACCGCCATGATACCCAACTGCTGATGAGGAGTGTAGTGTATAGCACTGCACTTGTCTTTGTTTACCTATATAGCTTTGAAACGCGGCAAGTAAGTGTAAAGGACATGCAAAGGCTGTGGAGTTCTGACAACCTATTCCTTCACAGTGAAAACCATTTGTCGCGGTGCCATTGTAGCGTCAGTCCACGAAAACACCGGTCACTGGGGTGAGCAGTGTATGTAAATCCTGACGTTCCGGTCGGCATCCGCATGAAAATCAACACCAATAATTAAAGAAATACGGATAGCTGAAACCAACCTCGCGTAGAAGTGCATCGGTTCGAGTTGCTGCACTTCGCAGCCGTATGGAAAGAAAATGTGGTTATAAAAGTGTGATGTCATAGCACAAAAGATTATAGGAAGGGGGAGTAATTAGAGATCATTGAAAACACTTAGAATGAATAAATCTATGCCAGTATAAACGATTTTCAGCCTTGTTAACAATGAATCTCCAACCATTAATTTTTATTACCTTGGGGACCCAAACCAAACAGTAAACATTGCCCCCCTTACACATAGTTCACACTAGCAGTCATAGATTATTACCACTTCCCGGTCTGACCGGCCTGAACTTTCCAAGTTAATAATACTTCGACTTGCCTTACACATCAAGGTGAGCGATGCGTCAGCAAGTGAAACATATCTCCAGTCCACCTCATTCTGTCAGGGTCACAACCCCATCGACTAACTTGCCTAGCACCCTAACCTCGACATTGCGCACACAGGGATTTCATCATACTTGAACAACAACCGTGGACAAAAACCTATAATCTCCTCATATCTACTTTTAACGGCCATGTCCCAACGTCTTATGGTAGGATGGATTGAACAACAGGGTAGCATGTTCACCTTTCAATAGGGTAGTCCGATATCTCGCCGGCGCTACAGATGACGCAAGTGGGCAAACATCAAATGGGTCTTCTGGATCCGAGCTGGGATTTCTTCGGCAACCAAACCATTTGAAGTGATGTGATTTCCAAAGTAAGTCAATCGAACAATATGTTGTACTCAGAACCGACCTCAGCGGTATAGACGCTGTCATAATATTATATTCACTTCAACAATGATACTAGGTCTCATTACTGTTTTGTTTACACAACTTTCTACCAACTTTGGTTACTTTCCTACGTTTCATCTTGGTATCTTCCATCTTGGCCTATTGATATGAAATGTAGTAACATTAACCGCTACATATTAATACAAGAGCCTACTCTGATACTAATTGATCGGTTAAATTATTCTTTTCTGCAGCAAACAATTATATACTATAAGAAACTCGAAGCATAACGCACCTACAGACATTCTATCTGCGAAAATGCTTCGACAATCGAACAGATTTGTAATTCAAAAACTAGTATGATGATATTTTGTATTTTTAATACGTAGTGGTTGTGAACTTGCCTATTAATTTCTCAGAGTACTTTTTTGCACTACTTTATCTACACTTAAAATATGAATACCCAAATTCTAAATTAAGTGAAGTTAGGCAGTGTTAAAATCTACTTCTCTAAAGCGATTGAGTGAAGATCGTCACTAAACTACCGTCTACACTGAAACGGCAGCATAAAGAAAGATTTTCATGCCTTGTAATTCTTTTAACTTCATCAAATTCAAATTACACTTTCATTGAGAGCCAGGACTAACTGAAGAATTATCACAGTAAATACTACGACGCTATGTAATTTAAGGATTCATTTTTCGGACACAGTACACCAACCCCATTACCAATTTTATCGGACATATCCCAGAAATGGTTATCTGTACCATTCTCACTGACACTGACAAAACCAACGTAGAACCTAACACACAGGTGCATCACCTCAAGTTGCCAAACTTCACATTAGCACACAAAGAACAAGTGGATCGAAAAAGTAATATCACAGTAGATAAAGTAGCGTGAGAGAATAAACAATCTGAAGGTAAAGGTTATTGTAAATATTAAGATGTCAAGGAGTGAATACATCTGCGCCATTGTGACAGATTCTTAACCGTGTTCCTAAGAGTCCTCAACCACTGATTCGCTTTATCTCCAGGACCCCAGTCAAGCAGACTACACCTCCTGACATGTCTCAGGCCAACAGTCAGGGACTTTATCGACTGGTACTAGGTCTTGATCTGGCCACCCTGAGTCCTCTTCCAAACTAATCTAACATTCCCTAGCATGGTACATCGATATAAGTGGTGGTGGCTCGGCATGCGCAGTACATGTTCAAGCGATCTCAGCTGACTGAGGTTCACAAACTTATCAATCGACTTGCCCGTCATGCCTGGTACCCTTCGCCTGACCCTAACATTCATCACACAGTGATTCCAACAAACGTGAGGAATGCTACGAAGACACCTATGATCAAAACCCAGTAATCGTTTCATGTCTTCTACTTTCAGAGGCCATGTCTCACGGTAGTACAAAAGGACAGAGCGAAATGCAGCACACCATAATCGTCTTTTGATAGATAGCTAGATATCTTGTCAGTCGGTGCCACAGGAGACTCAAGTTGGTAAATTTCAAAAAGTCTTTCTTTATACGAACTGAGATTTCGTCAGCGACCAGTCCATTCACAGTTTGATGCATTTCTCCAAATAAGTGAATTGGTCGACACATTTCAACACTTCACTCCCTATCATTAAACTGGAATTACTAGCAGCACACCAGTCTTGAAGCATCATCTTGCATTTCACAGATGCACTAATCTAAAACCACCACCAAAACGGAAAAAGATGCATATTGAAATAGTATAATCAATCAGCCAATCAATCAATTAAATAATAAATTAAATTGTTGTTGGTGTGTTCACTGAACAGTTTGCCAATTAAGAACTTACTAGAAAAATAAAACATTCTAAAATTCATTTTGGAGGCAGGATGGAAAGAGATAAATTGATAGATATAACACTTTCCAAATACTGCAACAAATTTTCCTTAATATCCTCAAATCGCTTTGCATATGACATGTATGTATACATATGTAGGTTACGGGGTTCCGCATAGAGGCGAAGGTTATCGAAAAGGAACATATAGGGGTGTTTTAAAAAAAGATAAAGAGTTTTGAAGAGAAAAGAAGAACGGATAGTCAGAATTTTCTGTAATTACTTTATGAAACGATGATCGACGTGGAAAAATGCATGCATACACACCAAAGTGGACATATATATCTCTTTTATCTTATGTCCATGTGTGTGCATGTACCAATGACGTGGGAAAGTAACAAAAAGTGGTATAAAAGAGAAACATTCACCATAACACAAGTGAAGGGGAATAAAAACTAGTTATACACATTTGTTTCTTTTGAGCTTGTATTGATTAGGTGATCATGAAGATAATGATGTAAACTGTTCATACAATAAATGTAAATATATACATGAGAAAAGCAGATATAGCACCAGCGGCAGGCAGAGTTACCAACCAAGCAATTAGGATATTGCGAAATATCCCCCAGTTCACGTTATCTTTAGATCGTGCACGTCCTACAAAGACAACTGAACCAACTTTACAATGTGTAGTAGATATTGGTAAGCCAATTTTACTTGCAATTAAAACAGTTAAAGCTGCACCGATTTCAATACAAACGCCACTAAAAAAGAGGAAAACATCAAAAAAGAAAATTATGTGATGCAGCGAAATCTAATCAAATATGAATTTAAACACTTAGATTATAGTGGCTGACTATGAGGTTTATATGATATAATGAACAGAATTTCTATCCTTTGTAATTTTCAGTAAAGTAAAAAGAACCCCAAAAAAGGATGACAAATACAATAAATCTCACCGACTCATCAGCTGCCTTCAAACTAAAGTAATATTAAGATACGTGAAAAGTTAAATACATATGTCCGTTAATTCGATGGCGAAATATTTTCTTTAAGAAATGTAGGAATTAATTTTTAGCGATAAAAAATTAAAAATATGTAGGTGCGAAATCCACCTGCTCTTTAAAATTTCATTTACATTCAAAATAGAATGTAGTGCAGACAAGAAAAAACAAGTCATTGGTACATTCTAAATATGTACAGTTTTATTGAAATTTAGGTCGGTTCAATAACCCAAAAATATATTTCTGATTGTGAAACCTGGTAGTACAACAAGTCAAAAAACAAAATATGACAAACGTTGTAGAATATTCAAATAAGTACCACGTGAACATGTAAACGTTCGAATTGCAATGAATATCACGACTATATATCGACTGATCTGTTTCTAATATCTAATTTGATTATATATCACTTTTAATTCTATTCTATTTGGCAATTCTTTCATGCTGTAAGTTTCAGACCACCTTGGTTCTAAAAAGCTGCTTTTGTTTAGTAAAATACTTAATTCAGCTGTTTTGAAGCCAGATTTGCTTACTACTCCCAACAATGATACATTGGTCCACGTGGAGTGAGCGATAAATCCAGCTAGAACAGTCGCAGTTTTTGTTGGTGAAATAAGTTGTACCTGAAGTAACCCAATACATAACCGATTGACTCCCCAGAAGAGTCATTTATTTGATGAACTAAAGTTTGACCTACGTAGGAAGTCACTGTGAACGCAGATAGTGTAATTTTATTATCTCTAAAATGGTTTTTTGAATGAATTTCAGAAAGTAATCACTGGTTGGTTGTATCACTAACTAAGTGGGTTTTCAGACTAGTAAGAATTTTAAAAAAAGCTCAGTCATAACAATGCATCCAATCACACACAACTACACAGTAGGATGAGACAGGGCAAAAATCCTTAAAACTAACATAGCAGGATGGAGGGAGAGATTGATAATTGAGTCTTTGTTTATAGAATTAACACCTAATATATGGCAACAGGAATGAATCAGCAACTCTTACGGATATATGCAAACTCCTAGTAGCCATATCACAAAGGAAGCGAGGAAATTAGGACTATAGAAAAGATATTTCAAAGTTGTGTAGTTATCGTGATATGACTATGGACAATAAATTATGTTTGAGACGTAATCTAGTAAACAGTACTGTTACACTGTGTGGTAAATCTAATCAATCAACTGAAATGGAATTACATTCTACTGCAGCGCTCAAGTTATACTCTTTTATTCTAGATTAAATTCGTCCAACAGATCTACTGAAAATAATTGACGTTCCGATTTTTTGAGACAGGACTATCAAGTGCAGGCGATTGTGGCCTGTGAGATTTTCTAGAAGTTTTATCTGCCAGTCGGATATTAACAGCCATCTTTTGAAGCTTTATGTAGATCGGGACGTATATTTGATTAGTTCAGGTACTGATAGGATTGTCACAAATGCACAGTTAGCAAATTTTTCGACGACTGGTATGTGAAGACTAAAAGTTAGCATCGTAATAACTTATTATTAGTGTGTACCGAACTTCTGACCCTTCCGAAGTAACAACCACAACTTTAGGCGGTAAATATCCTTGTACAAATAGCAAAGAGGCATATGTAAGTTGACGAAGAGTAAAATGAGAACTTTCTTTAACCATAGCAAGTACTTTTCCCTCTTGATTGACAAAGCTATCATTTTACATGGTATCCTACTAAGTCTTCATGTTCTTCGGGAGCAAAAAACGTGACAATGACCAAGTAAAGTCTGTGCATATTACTCTGAGGTTATGATTTTGCAATATCAGAAAATTCGTATCATAAATAAAACCATTTGCATTAAGGCGAAATTCGATTCTATTGAAAAATAACATTAGGTAAAGTAAAATCACCAAACGGCAATATATCAAAGAATAGAACTGCACGAAAAATGTGACAAACCTAGATGGTGTCATTTTTGTCAGGTCTTCTCCTAACGTTTGAATAACACGCCTACCCCATATCCAAAGACCAACGGAAATACCAACACCCCCATAGACAAGGATCCAAAGATCTGTAGGTTTGGAGGAATCAACTGACTGTGTTGTAGCGATAAGCCAAAGACCAATTAATGGTCCAATAGCATTACTACAAGGAGCATAAATTACAAAAAACCACAATGACAAAAGTTAGAAAATGAAATTCTATGCAGACGAAAATCATCAGTATCAAAATGAAAAGTTCAAGAATCCAGTCACGATGTCTGAAACTAAATATATTCACTAGAAATTATTAGCTGATACTGTTTCCTACTTACTTGACTAGGGTTTAAATTCACAGAAGGATTTGCATAATTTATCAAAGTACTTAACATATCTTAACGCCACTTTCAAAAGATAAAGGCAGTGGATCAGTTGGTCTTTACTAACTTTCGATTGGTACTGCTCGGTGAACACGGAATTCATTCCGGCATTGAATTTTAGCCTGTTATACAGAAAAAATTAATCGGAGAATATTTTGCTAGTAAATTTTTGACTTCCTTTTTATCCGACCATATGAAGTATACTACTGTCATGATATATACTCAACTTTATTCGCCTTTATTAAAATGTCAACGTGAAAGGATTCTATCACACAGCTTACATGAAAAATAATATAGATTTGGTACTGTCAGATCTATTTCCCAGTACTTAACAGTGATACTGAGCATCGCAACCAACACAATAGATATTTTTACTTACTTTTATTCGGACATTGGTGAGAAGTTTGTTTGCCTGAAACGATATAGACCTTTTTATATGCAGTCATGGATAAGATGCGTCACCTTATATAGAAACTTTCAGAATACCGAAACCAACATGTATCAATTTATTCACAATAACCTGTGCTGTTAATTTTATGCGTATTACACTTCTTTGTAACTCCCGAACTTCAATGAACAAGACAGGAATGCATCATTATCCTTGGATAGTAAGATTCAAAACTAAGGATGGGGATGATGGCTTTGACCTTGATATTTAATTGTAGACTGTTAATCCTTAAGCTTATTGACTTCACCGGAATTAGTAGCAGTGGTAATTTTACCCTTGATGTGTTAAACAGATTGTAGAACACTGTGGTAATCACAAAAGAAGTTGTATAAAAACCTGAATTTCAAGTTTACTGATAAATGATAATAGGGATCATGTGGAAACAAAACTACATACACTTCTGTATTCCATCAAAAAATAATGCGAACGATCCGAATCAAGCAATATAGTCGTTCCTAGTGAGCGATCAGAGCTTATTTACAGTAAGTAATATCTTTTCAGCACTTAAAAAAGAGCTTTTTATCTTAGTAACAGACCACTTTAAAGATAAGAAACTAGGTGGTATTCAATACGTAGATTACAGATCCCCATTTTTGGCATAAAAGCTGCGGAAAATCAAGGTTTGCATGCGTATGTGGTTTCGCTTTCAAATATTAGGAGGAATGCTTAGGGAAACGGCTCAGATGGTATCATTATTTTATTAACTGAATTTATCGTATTTTTTTCACGTAGGATGAAGGAAGTAAGTAATAAACTTGATATAACTCCGAAATAAAATAAACAAAATTCGAATCACTGGGCTAATTCAAATCGTTTTCAAGGATAGTACTATACATTAAGCACAATGGCTTAAGGTATTTCCAACTTAAGAACCGAATGACACGCGTTAACCACAGTACATCGACCAAAAACCTAACTCACTCACAAGCCATCGTGGCTTAAAAAAGTCGTGTTTCGTAGTTTAAAACCGATGACGTATACTATTGAATAAGGCAAACTCCAAGGAAGTCTGTTACTAATTATGGGAGCACTAAGTCCTCACTTCACATCACATCACCGTCGCCCTTAAAGACTTTCAATAATTTATACTGTTGGAAATTCACTTACTACCGGTGCGAGTAACTTCTGCAGAAACAGTTAGCTTTTTCATTAGCGACAATATGTATAAGGGACAACTTTGGGCTAAACAGAAACAGTATCAAGAAGTAGAATCCTCTTCAAGTTTTACCTCAGCGATATAACACCAAGTTATAAAAGTCTTTTGATACTAAACGCAAGTCACCCAAAAACGAATAGTCTACATACCTGACATCGTTGCCTCCATGAGCGAATGAACCAAAAACAGCAGTTAGTATTTGCAGAGATGAGAAAACCTGAGCTTCGGCTGGTCGATCCTTGATCAAGTCAATAGGCTCTGGTTCCTGCACAAAGCGAAATTGATAAAATAGATAAGGGTGGCAAAGAGGAAGCATGTAAAAGATTTCTACTTCCTTCCTGAAAAATGCATAAGTTCTAATGAACAACAAGAAAAACTAACCAGAAGCTTAATAGATCTTGGTGAATAGCCCAGCGGTTGTAACTATAAGCTTAGGTAGGACTGGTAATTCAGTAACAAACTGTTTATTTGATTTAGCATATAGATGGTACAGTAATCAGTCTAGTGTTAGTTGTACAATCAAATCAATATGAACAGAACAATTAGGATGAAAAGAGACAAAATCTTGGGAAAATGATTCATTTGTATACATCTACCTAAAGTATAAATGTATGTATGCTTTTTTACTAAGGATCAAGTAGTCATTTTATAGTGACAACTTATACTGAAATAGAGTGAAAAATCATGGCAATACGAGTCTGCCAAACCACAGCTATCTTAGATAGTCAAACCGAGAAAATAACAAGACGGAACAAAATAACAACTAAAGTGAGGTGTGACGTAAAGGTTGAAAATGACTATTGGTAAAAGTATGAATGAACAAGGATATAAGACTAATAACATGAAAGTAGGTGTTTGTCAGTGAAACAAAATAAAAGAATAGGATGAGAAGGTTTACGATAGGGGGCTGAAGTGTAAAATTTATGATGAAAAATTTCCCAAAGAATAGCTTGACCGTAGTACTCCGGGCCAAAGTAGACAAAGTGGATAGAGATATTTCCTGTAAACGCCTACGTCAGCTTTCGTGTTGAATTTTGGAGCTTCGCCTGCTGATAGGAGTGGTGATACCCAAATATGCAGATTGCAAAAACACGATCAATTACAGAAAAGGCTTGATATAAATTGATTTAATATCTACTATCTACTAAATCCAAAGGGACTGTTGTACTATTCTTTTCCTTAACCAAGCTGGTACATATTCACGAGCACGCACACAAGGTAAGGTTTATGTAACTAGCTTTACAAGAAACGTTGAGTTAACAAATGAACATTGAAGTGGCCATCATTGGTAGCCTTTCCTTGGTTCGATGTGTCAGTAACGGTTTGGTTGAAAGGTTGACGAAATGTTTTACTGCAGGTAATTTTCTTACGATAGATCAACACAGTCGGCCTGTTATGATGGCTTGGGAAATATAACCATAGTCTAAGACATAAAGTTTTCTTCGCAACGTTATCCTTCACTTTAATCTCTCTAGGTATCAATATGTAATTAACAATGAAGTTTGCTAGATAGACATTTTTCTGCAATGTTTTCTTTAGCCTATTTATTTCTACTTCTGCATGGTCATCCAAAATGAATATTTCGTATTCCGTAACTCAAGAATTTGATTGGGCTTTTTTGTCATGATTTAGTCTGAAGCCATGATGATGAATAAATTGACCAGTCCATGCGTACTTTCTAAAAATATTCCTATATATATCCATCTTCCTGAGAAAAACATTTGGAAATGACATACCTTCTGCCTGTTTCTGTCCACAGGTGAACTTCACAGTTGGTTGGACACTAATAAGAATATTCAAACGATAGGCTTTTTTGAATTCCTTGCCACAAATGATGAACATACCATTTACATAACGACAATAATAGTTTCGTTTATTAAGCTTTTACTTAAGTGAACCGTTTACAAGCCTTGCCAAGAAGATGTCAGCTAGCATGTCAGAACCAATCGTAACCCCATCTACTTATCGATAGAATTCAGTGTAGTATAAAAGGCGAAGCTCACAATGTATTTTAGAAGCCATTCCTTAACTTTTCCGGTGGGACACTTACGTCTATCTCTCCTTCTATCAGTTGGTCGTATATGTAGTTGACTGTTTTAACAAGCTCGAAATTTCTAAACAGCAATGTTACATCTGGTGATATCATCCTCATGTCGTCGACATACATATATTTGGCATGTTCCACGACGCTGAATACATTCTTTACAATGATTTTCAATAATTCGCGATGTGGAGGTACTGGCGCACATACTCACCATTTTTCTGCTGAATAATACAGAGGATTCGATATATTTGAAATTGGGAGTAGAGAAATTCAGGCCGGTGAACTTTTGCTAAGCCATACAGCTTGCAGATATATTTGCCCGAGGGTTTTAACGCACTAAATGTGAATTTAGAGAGTAGGTTCTGTTCCGTCACTAAACTTAGAGTCAGCATCCCATTGCTTCACTCCAAATCCCATTAAGGAACTCTAAGGTTTTGATTTTATTCTGGCATCTCACATCTGAGGCAAGAACTTCTGGAAATCCCCGAAACGATAAAGAAAATCGATTAGTTCACTTTAGTCTTCAGTGCTACCTCTCTTGATATCATTATGTACTGATATTCATCAAAATTGACAAGATATAGAATCGAGGTAACATGATTCATACCATTGAAATAACAACATTATGGTGTCATCTACGGTTGATCCGCTGAAGCACATGCTCACAAAATGGGTAGTGAACATAAAGTTATAAGATTTACTTCAAACTGAATAAGGCAGAATCTACTTATATCAAAACGTTTACGTCATAAACTCGCTATTCTCACAAATTGTTGACACTCAACTTCTATTCACTTTCCTCATAAGAAAGGCGTGTTTTGCAAACAAAAGGGTATCGAAATTCGTTGGATGTTTCATTCACAAATACTTTCAGAAATTCCAAACATTGTTATTCGACAGTAAAGTCATCTAGGTAGTTTTATTGAAAGAGAGTACACCGATCTGAAAAAAAGTATTTTTACCCATCTTGGCAGCAATAATTTCATTGCTGTCACACTTAATTTCCATATCTGTAACTTTAGTAGATTAACATTAGGGACTACTTTACTAGGCTTGATTGGAATTATGCAACTATGTAGATGCAGTTACAATCTTGCGGCTCTATGTCTAATTTGAAGTTCAATTTAAAAACCTTTTTTAATCGTTGGTGCATTAAATGGATGTGTGGCCATTTGCATACGATTTAAAAGACATGGGATTATTGTGGTAAGATTTATCAAAACGTCCATCTAATAACAATCTTACACAAACTAGGAACTGTTTATCAAACTAGTGTGTTTACTTATTTTAAAAGTAAGTGATAAAAAAAGCCACTCACCTCACCGACTGTAGCCAAATTAGGTGGAAATGAGACATTCATTTTACCATTAGTTAACGTATGGGTACCATCATTATTCAAATATTGATCATTTGATGAATAGGCCATAACTACGTTTAACTGATTACTTTTACGCAGTTTTCTTTCTTCATTACTCAATTCGTCTGGTATAATACTTGGCTTAACTTCAAAATCTGTTTTTTCATATGATAATAAAAGCAAAATGAAAAATTTATTACCATGTAAAGCAGTTTGACTAAATTAAAAAGAATGTAATAACATCGAATATAGTATGCAAAATGACAAAAAAAACGAAACAGAACAAAGTAAGTCCAGATGAATCCTCATCTTTGTTGTGTTCAACAAATATTACCAATAGAAGAGTGCAATATGGTCACCAGACTGAGCTACGGAAAATTGTGGTAAATTATATTATGGAAATTATTCTTTTGAAAAGGAACTCGAATTGAATGTATTGCCTGCATATACTTATCTGATAGTTGTACGTATAACTTTGGTTTCACCTAAGCTAACGATATTCAAATTGAAACGGATAAAAAGTTGTCGAGAAAGAATGTACTTTCTTATGGTTGAGTGTTGGTCACTTGCAGAACAGAAAATTAAAGCTTTCTAGTAATCATCTCAAAGCATTAAGCATTACATGAAATAAATATCAGAAAATTACAGGCAGCCGGTAATTGAATGACATCACCAATTCTTATGAAAACACTAATGAGAAGCGGTAGGGAATAAATCGTGAGAACATGTCATCTATAAGTAAATAATTCAATTATGTCAATGTTAGGTAGTTAAAAGCAACTGGCAAGAAGCCCTGCATCTAGATTTCGTGCTTGTTGGCACCCTTCAGCAAGACGTATTTGGAGACTCGAAGTAATTGATATCCTCTTTCTGGCATTTAAACCACAGCTCCCAGTGTTCCTCCAGTCACTAACGTTACCAGTGAGCTATTCAGATCATGGTTAGCCTGATTGAACCAATCAGTGGTCAACTGCTAGAAACTAAGTTATGTGACAGAGACAGGTAGATGGATGCCTTGACTGCACCCTGCCTTGCAGTTGGACATCAGCACGAAAAACAAACTGGGTTTTTTTTTCCACTTTCCATTTAAATCATATAAATTATGGCTTCCTTTAGTCAGTAACCTAAAAGACTCCTCAAGAGATCATTAGTCCTAGGCAGAAGACGAAGTATACCGTAGACACAACTATAATACCATTACTCCCCCACTTTTTCTTTATAGAACTTTAAGCAAAAGTAATGAACTGTAATTGTAAGTTAAACAGATGTGCTTTAAAAAGCAACAATTTGAACGAAAAATATTCCTTTCAAATTCTCTTCAGGTTCTACAATTATAAAAGTGCATTTTTACAACGTGAAACCAAGCCATGTCAGGGCCGGATACATTTTCAAAATAGAAAGAGAACTAAGTATTTTAAGAAAATCGATTTTTCTTTTTAAATTTATCAATATTGCGATGATACATATACAAATAAATGATATGATAATGAGCAATAAGATAATGAATAGAAAGGCAAGAGTGCCCTTTAGTTTACTGAAGGCTAAGGAAGAAGTAACACTTGAACATGTTCCTTCTGAATGCAGAGTTCAGGTTTGATCAATCTTATTGCAACAATCTCCGCTATACTGAGCAGGCGTTGGTGAGCCACATGTGGTATCCTTTTTGGAATGCTATGAATGACGATGAAAGCTTTATTAGCATTTATGTAACGCCAGATGTCTAATAGGAGGGGAGGAGGGTGTAGGACTGAACTTTTCACCACTTTCACTTCACCTTTTCAGAATTAAGCTGGTAAACGCTTTCGTATCTAGAGATGCACCTGCCAAATCCTATGCCCTATGTAACTTTTTCTCTAGTAACAGTCACATTAATATATACATGATGAAAAGCTAAGATTAGGTAGGTTATCCTTTAGTCTCAGATAGGGCATTAACTGACCACTGAATTATATACAAAGCCAAGCTGAATGAAGCGCCCTACTGACCGCTCTAGCTAGGCATTGTGACAGAATGTCACTTGTACCATCTCCCTTGAATTGTAAGCGCAGAAACAAAGACTCATTCTCCATTGTCATCAATTCTTGTTGAGGACCAATGTAGTTGGATGTTAGCTTAGATGAACTTGTCCGGCTATCCGTTTTCACTCGGAATATCACAGATACAAAGTAGTCCTTCTTCCACACACTCCTTTGAACAAATCGATCTCACTTCAAATCCCAGGCACCTGATTACATTGGCTTTATACTTCATCAGAACGAAGCTGAGAAAGTGTGTAATGTCCCTCAAACGTCGGTTTTCTATACATCTTTTTCAGCATAGAGCCATCTTTTTTGTCATTAGCACATCAAGAAAATGTATCAAATGATTGGTTTCATTTTCGTATATAAAATGAACTGATGGATGACCGCTGTTGAAATGGTTCATAATAGAACTAATGCATATACACCTATCAAAGACCAAAAATGTACCATCCATGTATCGACAGCACAATTACATTTGCCAATTTATTTACTTCAAACTTCAAAAATCAATGTAGATAAAATATCATAATGCCTAAAAAAATTCGTAATTTATAGTCTAAATTATTATTTTTTTTTCTCATTACATTAAAGCATGTACACAGTAGTTACAAGTGACTGGGATTACCTCCACTACATAACAGAGCATAAAATTGAGAAATAGGAGACTAATATTTCACATTAAAATTATGAATTACCATGGCGACTGATTCAACAGCTTGTATAAAAATCAGGACACAGCTTTCCAGCAAAAAATAATTTGTGAAGTATACTTCTATCAACGCTATTTCAAAAAAATACTTCGTGCCTCAAATTTCATTCAGTCAGTAATATTAGTATATCGTCAAAAAGATTGTTCACTTCAGAAATTTTATGCTAAATATTAGTTTGTGCAATTGATTACACTTCGTTTTCATTGAAACCAGTATCAGCCAGGAAAAGCTGAATAATAGTTGTTATACATGGCTCTCAAATTTCAAAAGAGGGTGCTATCTGATTTTTGATACTTGTATAATTAAGTAATAAAACAAAGAAATAATGGCGAGGAAAATTTTCTTTTCGATGACTTTTCATTTATTAAAGAAATACAATTGTATTTAAAATCGTTGGAAACAAATAAAAATCTACTAGTAATCAATATGGATATGTGATTCCCACAATGTTCAACAGCAAAATATAAAGTTTCCAGTGATGCAAGAAAATCACTACATTCCCCATGGCAAGGCTAACGATGAATACGTGTAATGTTTTTGAACACAAAGATCATGTTTAAGATCGTAAATTTCCAATATGTTGGCTATGCAGGACAAATGATGTAGTCGAAGACTTTTGGAACCGCAAGGAGGCAGTTTGTAAAATTACTTGGAAGAAATTATTAGAAGGAGCTAGATGTCTGGAGATAGCAAGGCGAACTAGTGATATATTTTCCCTCTCCTTTAGAAAATCAAGCTGGACAGCATTCAGTAAGGGGATGTAATTACTACGATGTTCGAGAATAGAAATGAAAGCCTCCAAAGACCGGAGAAAAATAGCACTTTGGTCCATGGTAAGGTTAATGAATGCACGTAATGCTTTTTAATACAAAGATCAGGTTTAGGGTTTTGACCGACATTCGCGCTCAAAAACACTACCTGCATTCATCATTAGCCTTGCAATGAGAAAAGTAGTAATTTTCTTGTATCATTAGAAACTTTATATTCAGCTACTAATAGACTTTTATTTGTCTCCAATGATTTTAAATACAGTTGTACAGCTTTGGTGAATGAAATAGTTAAAGCGAAAATTTTATTCACTATTAAGTCTGTGTTTTATCTGCATAATTTCAACCTACTTGTGATGAAATTCGCCTGTATACTTACCAAGAAACTCTTGAATTAATTCAAAATGCTCATTAACCAACTGCTTTTTCCAATAGATATTTCACCCTTCCTGTTGAGTGAATAGTAGCAAGTTTAATATGATTTGTTGAGAATTAGAGCCTAATGCTAAAAAAGTTAATTGGTTTGAGTATAAGAGATCAGAAAGGGTGATTTTTTTAAAAACAAATATACAACTACAAGGGCAAAAAAAAAGTGAATATCCACGATGGTTACGTGACAAAAGACGTTTTCTAGTGCACACAATCTCCAAACCCTTCAAAAATTTTCTTTCAATGTAGACGACTGAACTTTTCGATTGCATTATCCAGATTGTAGTACGGAAATCTATATTAAACTTTATAACTTAGCAAGTGATGCCATTTTATTTGAATCATCCCACCAAACTTAGTTTACTTAGCTGAGTGCATCGATCTGTTGATAAATACGTGTTATATTCATGTGAGAAATGGTTATTTAAATTTCTTATTAGAAGCATTTTTATCCTCTTCATGTGTAAATTATTAGGAATCTTAGAAGCGAGTAAACGATGATGATCATTCAAATAAAATGGAAAGTTACACATGTGGACTGAAAAGAATAAGAATCTGGTTTTGATAAAATATGGTTAGCCATGGAAGGTATCAGTAAATAATGACCATGATTCACAGTTAACTAGCAAAACATAGATGTCTGCATGGTACAAATACTTTGTAATAAAGTGAATTCAGTAGGATTTGTACGGTTACAACATGGGTTATTCATATGAAAAACACAGGTAGTTAAGAATAATTTAGCTTCATTCTAGGACAAACAAATAATGAGTATTATGAAACTACTCAGAAGAGAATTAAAAAGCTGTAGTGGTTGATTCACACTAGTTTTTTTCAGAAAGTATTGTTCAAACTGTTTAATATGGAACTGGTGAAATGTTACTCAGCTTTAAGCAACTACTGCCTAATAGACAGAAAATGTTTGAACAAAGCTAACACTGAGAAGACGAAATTCAGTTCCAACGGCGAAGATATTGCTGTTAAATTATTGAACTTGGTATATCAACAATGAATAGACATAGTGAACCCAAATTCGACTGAATAAGCATTGATATTATGCCTTGATATTAATTTAAGCAAATAACTTGACAACTAAAAGCACAAATGACTGATCTTCAAGTGACCATAATATGCGTCAAAAAGCATGTTTACAATTCGCCCTAACAGCTACATAACAGTTAGTCGTTTGGAGGCAGTCAGCAGGAATACCTGCTCGACATAGGTTTCG